AATACATTAAAAATATTTTCCTTATATATACTTATAACATTTATATTAATTAAGTTCATCTCATAAAATGAGCCAAAGAATCTCATAAAATAATAAATACATAGTCATATATATTTTTTGAGTTGAAAAATGATCTCATTACTTAAAATATGTACAGAGAATTAAACTTTAAATGATTGAAAATAATTGTTGAATTTTGAGTCACATTTACTCATTTAGATAAACTTTCTCATTTTTTTTTAATTGAATTCACAAACACACATAATATCGTTAGTTTTTAATATAATATAAAATTTAAATAACTAATTTGTAAATGTTAAGAGAATTAGTTAAGTCAATTGTTTATAATAAATATGTATTAATTTTTAAAAATATGTTTTAATCCATGCCTTATAACTATTCCTTCATGAAAATATTCTTATTACATGCAATTAATAAAAATACATTAAAAAACTATAAATTTTTTAAAAAATAAATTAAGATTACTAAATTAAATTTCTTATCTAACTCATATTTAGAATTAAAGGTAGTATTTTTGTTTCAAAGATAAACATACACAAAATTATTTATATTTATTAGTTCATTTTTCTTACTTTAGTTGCAGTATTAAATATATAAATTCTTATTATCATGCTTTTTCACTTTCTCTCATCCAGCAACCACAGATTTCGTTTCCTTCAGTTTCAGATCAACACAGTAGCCACACCTTGAAATTTCAACTATTAATTTAAGAGGTTAAAGCAATGTGACGCGTGGAAAAGTAAATAAAGAAGAAAAACAATTTAAGGATTTGAGAACTCACAAGTGTTTTCCCTTGAAAACTGCAAGGAAAAAAGAAAATTGAAAACGCTCAGGTCAATTTTCCTTGGAGTGAGTGCGTGAAAGTACTTTTTTTTAAGTGTTTTTAAGGTTTCCAAACTTCTTCAATGACACATAGTCATGTGTGCTAATTTTTCTATTAGGATTTATAATTAAATGATAACTTTTTAAAAATAATATACATGACCATATGTAATAGGAGAACTTGACATAATGTAGATAAAGAATTTGAGACAAGTATTGTCAGAAAAAATCATTAATATTTTTTTAAAGTTAATTACTATGAAGTTATAACATAATCTTCTCCATATTTAGAATTTTTCCTAAGAAAAATTACAAAGTTAAATTGATGTAAAAAAATGTAAAAGTGGAGATGAAGACGATTAGTTTTTTTTTTTTTTGGGGTGTTTTCAAAACTAATTGATCAAACTTCAAGAGTTTATCGCATCCTTATCATATGTGCGTCAACATATTAATTAATCAATTACAAAATAATTAATCTCCGTTTAAAATGACTCCACCCAAAGGAAAGTCATGAACAACATTGTTACAGATTTTCCGAAAGAGTTCAAAAAAATAGTGTTATCCCTTTCATAATAGAGTTCTTTTGATGACTTAAACTTTTAAAAAATAAAAAGCTAAAATAAGATAAGGACACCACAATGTATAGAGATTCGGATTCAGATATGGAACTCTACCTGCTTTCCCCAAGTATGAAACTTCAGAATTTTATGTAGTTGGTCATTGTCATACAATACGCATCCACCCCAACATTTACCAATCCAATATAAAGACAGCAATCAAATTTATTTTTATTTTGGTTTTGATCCCTCAAACTATAGGTTTGATTCTTCAAGAACAAAATTGTCTAGGTTTATATTAAATTATATGGATTAATATTTTAAATTAAAAAAAACATGAGGAACCATGAATTATATTAACTCACATTAAAATAACCTATTTATCATTTTGAAATTTTATTGATATTTTATGGTCATTTTTCCAAAAGAAAATTCCGTTTTTGGACTAATCAAATTATATACATACATGAATTAAATAAACTTTCGAAGGGGATTGCATGAAGAAGTTTTCGTTTTTTTTTTCCTTAATGTTTTTCATAAACCTGTTTTTGCCATTGCGTTGCCCTGAGTCATGTGAGTATGTAAATAGTCTTTTGAACTTTTTAATTCGTTCGTTACTTAAATTTCATGATGCTTTATTTTTTTTAATTATTTTCTATTTCATGTATATCAATCGATCATGGAGAAAATTGCTTTTTGTTGGATAGAAAAGAAAAGGAATGAAAATGGGGAAAATGACACAAAAAGATATGGGAAATTACAATATTTCAATTCAAGTACCTAAAAAGTTAAAATTTTAGGAAGGCTTAAACTGGTATTTTACAAATGTAATCAAATGACTAAAATATCCTTATATCATATTCTTTCTTAAAAAAGTATTAAACTTGTCATTGTCTATACATTTTTTATTATTAGTTGTTCAATACTTATCATTACTAATTTATAATTTGTTAATAAATAATTTTTCATTACTGGTAAGTTTCTTGTCATTTGTTATTTAATACTTATCATTACCGGTTTATAACTTGTTAATAAAATTTTTGATTTAATGGCATTTTTGCCATTTAACTACATTTATAAAATATCAAATCAGGCATCACTTTTTTTTAAAAAAAATTTTGATTTCTTAAATGTTTGAATTAGAATATTACAATTTTTAACTGCTTTTTATGTCCTTTTTTTCCAAGAAAATTTTGCCGGAAAAATTTGACCTTTGAAACAATTTCAACATGATATGCATGTGTCGGTGGGTAAACAGGTCAATAATTGAGGCCTGCTGAGTGAACGATCCTACGCTCTACACGGACGCACGTTCGCGGGGTTGGGGGAGCTGAATACTTGAATACTTCTTCGATTTTATTTATAAGTCCCAGCATATTACATTACAACCAAGAAAAAAAATTTAAAATTTCATTAACCATGTCTTAAAATCTACACGCATGTTTTTTCAAAAGGAAAATAAAAAAGAAATGAAAGATAAAATGTATGAAACATGCACCAAATCAAACAATAAGCAACAGCAGTAGTAGTGCTTTTAAAATATTATTTTATGAGCAACTTTAACTTCATCATTAATTCTCAAAATATCCATTAAATGAATGCATATAAGATATTATAAAATATTTTTCAGTATTTTTTGTGGATTGTATGTACATGAAAAAATAATTCAGGGTGTGAGACACACATTAAAATAATTTAGGATATTGAATATACTTAACAAAGTATGTTAAGATGTTGGACGTTTTTTTTTTTTTTACAGAGTTGGACGTATTTTAACCATACTTGTTATTAGGTTGTTATAATTTCACTTGATTTTTAATTAAGTCTTTGTAGTTTGAAATTCCTGAGAAAAAAAACTATAAGAACAAATGACCTGATTTTTTTTTTTAAAAAAAACACCGGATAGACTCAATTAAAATTATGGTGAAACCAGAAGAACCGGCAAATTAATTTTCCTGGCAAAATTAAAGCATGACACGCTTTCAGCAACTCCAAAAAACAAAAAGGCAAGATGCTCTTGGAAGTATTAACAGAAACTTGATCCCTGATCTATATTGCATCTGAAGGCTTTCTATTTCTTCAGTCAGTAGGAAAAGAAGAGGTGCGTTAAAAACCAGAATTCTCACACTTTATACAATGTCTGGAAATTGCAGCTAAATTGTGGAGAATCCAAAAGCCGTGTGAAATACACAAATGAAAGAAATGAGTTAACCTGTTGCTTATAAAAATTGGGATTCAAGGGAGTTAGCCTTCTTTCAAACTTGTACAATAATCACTTAGTGCCATCTCATTCACCGTTTAAAGTTGAGGTTTCTGCCTTTTTCAAAGGTACAATAAGGTCAGTTGAAGGTAGATGTGATGCACATCTTAAATTGGTATAATATGATTTGTGAAAAAAAAATCATAGATATTACCCAAAAGAAAACTAAATAAATATAAAATTTATGATTTAAGCAAAAAACATAAAAGGCCAGCAATGAACACAGGAGGTGACATGCTGCTTTATAAGAACATGCACCCAAAAAAAATCATGTTTTCAAGAGGAAGAAAACTCCGAATCAACAAAAAGAACAAATTTGGTAAACGAAATTAATTGAAAGGGAAGATTTAAAAACTCTATAAAAAAGAAGATTTCTGAGTAATGGAGTCAAATTCAATGAAATGCACATCTGAGTGTAAATTGACACTTTTACAGTGTAAAAGCGGGAGAATGGGAGTGATATGGGCAAAGAGTAGTATAGACGACACTACATGCAACAGATAGCACCTCTTATTTAAGATTTGTTTAAGAAATGCATACGTCAGAACAAAACAGGGGAATGAAAAGAGCCATTACTCATTGTTTCGCTTGAACTTTTAGAAATTATAAATTTCTTCTTTCCTTGGAATAGATGGAATCATCCCAATCAAAACACTTTTTTAAGCACATCATTTGTTAGGAATGACTTCAGTAAAATGACATCTCACTTGCAAGGAAAGTTGGTAAGATTGAATAACACAATTTATATCCTTTACATTCATGCATTCAGAGATAATTACACAAGAATGAAACTATGTTTGCAACTTGTACACTTATTTTTGTGAACATAGAAAAATTGAATTATGGAATACTTCTTGACTCCGTTAGTAGTAAGAGTCCACATCAGTTTACTGAATAAATCTTGCACTTTATAATTTGAAGTACTAATGAATTATGAAAACAAAAGCCTACAGAACTACAGAAGACACTACGGAGATATTGTTCGTCACAAACACTACTCCCACAACTAGGCTAAGTAAATAATTGAGCAATTATCTGAATACCTCAGCTTATCATTACTGTTAGAGCCACCAAAAGCAAGGGTTCTGGCCACATCTGTTTGCTCTTAATCTAACCCGCTTGACACCAAATTGATGTGAGTAGAACACTACCGTCAGAAATCGATTTAACGGAGCATAAAAATGTGGATAAAAGGAAGCTATATAATATCAAACTAAGTCTGAAATCAGTCATGAAGAAATAGATAAGTTGCAGGTGAAAATGGCATGCAATACACATATTTCATCATGAATGGGAATAGAAAGAACAAAATAAAAAATCACAATATGTCATATAGTTGATGAGTGTCTTTCCCACCGCAAAACACAGGGCTTCATTTTTGTTAAGAAATTCTTACAATTTTTCCCCAGAAAAAGAGAGAAAGCCAATTCAAAGGAAAGAAATAATAACTTTGTGAAAGGGACTTATATCATATGAAATGCATATTACATGCTAAAAATTCATCCCAGGTCACAAAACCCGATTATTGTCAATGGAAATATTTGGAATGTGGGAAATTTTGGGCCAAATTTCCCCATTCTTTGCATGGCACAATTCTCCAAGTAAAGAACACCGATAGATATTGAGATGTGTGAGAGAGGCAGGCAGCATTTGTCCTATTATTCTTTGTAGCTTGGGGCATTGTCTGATCCTTAATTCTTGAAGAGACTTTAGATTAACAAATCCCCTGCAGTTCAATGTTTCCAGACTTGGATAGTTGCTAATGGACAAAATGGCAAGAGAGGAAGGCAACAAGCACTCCTCTGGGAACGATTGTACACCATCATCATATTTACCAGTTACTGAGAGAGTAGTGAGACTGCGTAAAGACTGCCACTCCATAGAACCACACAGGCATGAAAACGCCCAATGATCAATATAAAGAGACATCAAATTAGGTGGCAGACTCCTCCCAGGAACCCACTCAATGCCTGGACAACCGCTTAATGATATATGTTGTAACATTAGAAGATTCATCCTGAGATCAAGCAATGACTTAAAGTTACAGCATCTTTCTAACTCCAAATGAGTCATGTTGGGTGCAAACAAACTCTGCAGTGAGAAAGATTCAAGACTGGGGCAATCAATCAGCTTAATTTGCTTAAGATGCAAACAAGCAACCCTTGTAAATGCAACAGATTTGAGATTCTTACAGCCGGTCATTATGAGTTGTTGGAGATTAGGAATGTTATTTAATGACAAGCAAGAAAGTGTCTCACAGCTATTAGTTATAATGATGGACTCCGCAAGTTCAAAATGATGATGCCCCCAAAAATCCATATCTTTACAACCACTGATATATATTGATCGAGCCCTTGGGATAGAAGCTGCCAAGTGATCACATCCATCAATGCGGAGTGTTACCAAATCAGGAAGGTAACTAGGCAAATGATCACTTAATCTAGGACAATCCTTTAATGTGAGATGTTTTAGTTTAGGAAAAGCATTTATGGGACATAAGCTCCCCCATTCCTGCAAGACAGGCATCTTTCTAAATTCCAGAATTTCAAGGGATGGAAAGGGCGTTGCCAAAAAAGTATCATCATTTCTCTTGTAGAACTCAGTACTGATCTTCATCAATGCATCAAATCCTTCAATCTGTAGCATCCGAAGAGAAGGTAGTTGCCCAAGTGGCGGCAGTAGGCTGCAATTGAAGCAATCATAAAGGATCAGTTGAACCATTTTGCAGTACAATGGGCATCCTAACCAATTTGAGAAAGCAGTTGCATTATATCCATAAATATCGAGAAATTTCAGGTTCACATGAGGCTGTAGATTGTCAAGTATGTCTCTTGAGTTGACAATATCACCAGCATCATTCCATGTCAGAGATAAAGTTTCAATTGACCGCTTATCTGCCAATCTTGTCTCTGAGGCTTCCCCGCCATTGGATACATGCTGCAAGTTCTTTATTGTTAAAGATGAGCTGAGATTTTGAAGTCCACCCAATTCTCTAATACTAGCCCCTTCAACTCTGTTCAATACAAAGTCACTCAGAAAGTGCAATTTTTTCAATTCACCAATTCCTTTCGGCATCGCTTGTAATCGAGAATGAGAAGCATCAAGATATCGCAAGCTCACAAGCTTCTTCATGTCATTGGGCAGCTTGGTTAGACCATCACAATCTCTCACTATCAGCATTTGTAGATTGTACAAGAGGCATAAATTGTCCGGCAACTTTTTGATACTAGTTCGAGAGAGATTTAAATAGCGCAAATGGATCAATTTGTCTATTGAATCTGGCAATGCCCCAGACAAGACATTGTAGAGTGATAATACACGCAAGCACTTAAGCTTTGAAAATCTGTTTGATGGCAAAAACCCACCACACTCTTTCCTGACAAGAATTGTCCGCAAAGATTTTGCTTTGCTTATAGAGCTAAAGTCTCCGTCTCCACAAAACACATGGCGCGCCATGTCAGTAATTTCATTTCCCTTGCTAGATCTGCAGCTGTAGCTGTAGAATTTTCTTGCTTCAGATGTTGCTAGGTCATGGATAAGGTCATGCATAACAAAAAATCTATTAGACTTATACATGACCAAGGGCTGAAAAAACGACCTTGAAACTAAATCATGCAAATACTCTTCCCCCACTTCTTCTAAAGTCTTTCCTTTCATTGATGTCTCTAAGAAACCTTCAGCCATCCACAACAAGATTAATTCCTCTTTCTCAAATTCATAATCTCTTGGAAACATGGAACAATAGACAAAGCATTGTTTTAATTGTGGAGAGAGATAATGATAACTGATTCTTAAAGCTGGTAGAATTTCGCTCTCCTCCTCTGACAAGTCCCACATTTCACTCTTTAATATTATATTCCAATCCCTAATATCACGTTTGAAGCGCAAAAGGCCGCCCAGAGTTTTGGAAACTAAAGGGAGCCCCTTACATTTGTTAACAATATCCCTACCAAGGCTTTCTAGATTTGAATCCGCCACAGAATCCATGTAGAGACATGCATGTTTTGCAAATATCAACCAACAATCATCATCAGATAATTGGCCTACATGATAGGATGAAAGAGTTCGGACAACTGAAGCAACCTTTTCACTACGAGTTGTTACGAGGATTTTACTCCCTTTGGTCCCAGATAGAAAAGGTCTTCTTAAAAGATCCCAATCAAGGTAATTTTCATTCCAAATATCATCTAAAACAATCAAGAATTTCTTCCCAGATAACTTCTCCTTCAGATCAAGTTGAAGTAAATTTAGATCTTGCATATCACAAGCATGAGACGTGACAGACTCTATTATATTATTGGTGATCTTAGGGACATCAAATTCCTCGGAAACACAAACCCACACTCTAAGATCAAATTTTTGCTTCACTTGATCATTATTATACACTACTTGGGCCAGTGTGGTTTTCCCTATCCCACCCATACCCACAATGGGCAAGACAGATATCTTGTTATCATCGATGTCATCAGAAAGCAACAACTCAAGTATGGCATCTCTTTCATTATCTCTGCCAAACACATCAAATTCATCAACGAGGGATGTTGACTGATGCCTCCATGACAAGTTCTCCCTTTCCACACGATCTCTCAAACCAAGAATATCTTTGTGCTTCAAAATTGATTCGAGTCTGTCAACTACGTCATCGATCTTGAAATTTATCTTTCGAGCATTCAGGTCAAAAGAGCAATAAAAGCATTTTTCTACCTCAACTAGAGTTGCGGCCTGAGTGGAAATCTCGTCTATCAAGTCATCGGCGTGATAAATCGCATCTCTGAGATCATCCAGCCAACTCTTCACAGCTGAATCAGTGATCTGCTTTTGATCAGCGTCATGGAGCACGGCACCAGCAGCATATAACGTTGTCTTCAACCTTTGGAGTGACTTTTCAGTAGACTTTTTCCCACGTAAGAAGGCCACAACGTTTGGAGAGGCAATCCGATCAAAAATAACCTGAAGAAATGCAGAGAGAAGAGGTCCACCCACAAGTTCAGCCATGAGTGAGTAGCTTGTCTGTAAGAACTATAGAAAAAACATGGGGGCTTAATTTGTTGGTTTAAATTCGATGCAAAATTTCCAGAAGGAAAGATAAAATGCGTTGACTCACGGACCAAAGGGGCCCACGCGACGTCTGTTGAAACTTGAAAGTAGAAACAGTCCTTCTCCCGGATCACTTAAGACTTAGTATCATCGTTAATAATTATAAAATCTTATTTATAAATTACAAATAAAATATAAAGAAAATTTTATAATTAGAATTGGAGGTAATAAACCCCTTTCTCGTCTTTCTCTTCTCAAGTGCAGACTTGCCTTTCAATTTGAAAAAAAGAAAAACAAAGAAACTACGAGGAGAATTTCTGTGCAAAAAAAAATAAAATAGCACGCATGAAATTAGAAATGAAAAAAATAAGAATAAATGTTTCACATTATTTATATGAAACATATGGTTGAGTTTGCTACTGTGGATGTTATAAACTTATAATTGAAGCTGTCATTATGCAACATTGATCTTCCTACCTTAATTGATTCCTTGCAATTTGGATTGGCTCTTGATGAATTCAATGAAAGTGTAAGTTTGAAATAACAGTAGGATTGCTTTAATTTTCAATTGTAATTTATGAAATACGAGGTAATTATACGATGAGAGTTTTGTGTCAATTTATGTAAACATGATTATAAACACTTAATAAAAACAGCTCCAAGAAAACTTTCAAATGGATGGGTTCTATTGCAGCATCCCAAAAATATTTCTTCAGTTTGCCCACTGGGGGCACGATCTATCTCTCCAAAATCTTGAGAACGAAGGTTCATCCATGTCTTAAAGAAGCTTACTTCACTTCAAATCATGAAACAATAAAACATCCTTGCTCACTTTTTATCATATATCCCCATCATGCCTTACATCTGTGGCATTATTTATGCACTTATATTTTTTTATTTATTTCCACAATGGGCACCTCGGTCCTTGCTACTTGTTGGCAATGATGATGTTTAAGTTGACCTAAATTTTCTGAATTTTCATGCTACAAGTTTTACCGAGGCTCTCGGGATTTTTGCTATATTATTTGCTACATTCTTGAAGATGAATGATAGCCGAAGTGTACTTAAGATAACCAATATTTTCCCACAAGAAGTTAGTACAATATAACTCTATGATACCAACAAGAATTGGTTTAGTTAATGAGGAGTTGTTTTATAACCCACAAGGTCGTAAGTTTGAATCCCACTACTGATATGAGGACCTTGTTGGTAAGTAATCTGTAAGTACCTCTATAAGTACTCTTTGAACTTAGAGGCATGCCCTGACCCTGATAAGCTCCTGGGACCCAACTCACATAAACTTTTGTATACCCAAAGGGAAAAAAACTCATATGATTGTCTGCTGCAACTTCTTTCATTCCTTCTGCAATTTTGGGGCTGCCCCTTCCTCTATGTTTGTAACTTTCCTTTTATCTTGTTTTGAGACTGTCAAGTAAGTATGTTTTTAGGAGTTTTTTTTCCCTCCAAAAAAGATCATTACAAGTTGCAGATGGAGAGGTATTTTTGTAATTAAAGATGATGATCTTATACTGCATAATCAAGAAGCATGTAAATTGAATATTTGAGAATCATTTACTCAAGTCAATATCAGTGAATGAGATTTTAAATATGCCTTTGGTACCAAAAGCAACGCAAAGTTTGTGTCTGGGACAAATCCCTCCTTTTCCATGTTGTTAAGAATGCCCCAAGGAATTTACTTGCTTTTATGGGCACTTTATCAATGAGATTCTCTGATTCTTCGGATAGGTCTGATCTGGGCAACAAATTAACAACACATGCAGAGTGATTTGTTGTGTATGCTTCAGTCCATGGTTCTCTTTTATGGAATGGAAATATAATCCTTTTGATGATTTTAAATTAAATTAAAATAAAATAAGATGAGATGACGATGTATAGAGGTTCAAATTCAAAGAATTGAATCCTACATCATCTCCCAAAGCATGAAGTATGAGAATTTTTATAAGTAATGAGAGTATTCATAATACATTATGCTTAATTCATCATATCATTTACACACCAAACCCAAAAAAAATAGAAAATCAGTATACAAATGTAATGCATACTGCCACCAAAGTATCTGTGAAAGAAAGGAAAAAAAAAAAAAAAACTAATGCGCATGAGTCACACATATTAAAGGACACTCCCAGCAAATTAAAGGACACTCCCAGCAAATAAGAGAATCCTTGTCAAGAAAATGATGAGCGTTTCTTCTCGGTTCAGGTTCAAGTTTGCAAATTTCCTTCCTGTCCTTGTTGATATGCTGTATTTTAAGCATACAAAAGGGAAGTCAAGAGACAATATAAGGAAGGGAGAGGGGGGAAAACAGAAATGGCAATCCATCATCCTCAAGTAACTTGCTAAGTTGATCACAATCAAAGTTATAAGGTAGATTAACGAAACAAGCAATTAAGAGAGAAAGAAGAAATCAAAAGCTTTAGTTCACTTCAAACCTCTAGAGAATAGGAATATATGAAGGATCTTGATTTGAGCATTATACTTTCTGAAGAAGAAGCACTGTATTTCCTTTATAAATTAGAACAAGCAAACCATGTTGGATTCTCCCTGCAACAACCCCATAATAAGAAAAACTCAAACAGCCAAGACCAAAAAAAAATCGCTTAAAGAAACAAAGAAATGGCATTTGTAATAGAGACAGAAACTTGTCCAGAAGTGTACCTTTACGGTTACAATTTGCAAATATTTTCTCATTACATGATTGAATATTGTATGAGCCACAAAACATTTTGAAGAAGGTCTTAGAAGAGCTATTGATATAAGCTTCGTGGGGTCTACATCTCTGCATAAATTTGAAACCAAATGGATTACTTCACTAATCTTTGCTTGAGCGTAGGATATGTAATTAAATTAGCCACAGTAACAAATTAATGCTTTGAACCATCATCAATTGTTTATCAAAATGCATCATTCTGTCATCAAATATTTGTAATAATTTAACATAAACAAACGAGATTGCTACCACCATTTAATTCATGAAGTAGCAAAACGTAATACTTGGGAACAAGAGTGTGGACAATAAATACCTCGTGGATGATTATATTGCATCTCATATCTCAGATGAATTGATCAGTGGGATGTGGGATATCTGACGCAAAAGCTGTTCATCCTTGTTGCGGTATTTTTCTTCAAGCAACAAACAATCCTGAATGTGAAGCTTTTTTAAAGAAACAGGTAGCTTTTCTCCTAACATTTTCTCCAGCTTGGGACAAGATTTGATATTTAGACATTGCAAAGAGGTTAGGTGCTGAAGTCCTGTGCAATTCAATGTCTCCAAGTTACCAAAGGAATTGAGTTCCAAAGTGGTAAGAGTAGAAGGAAGAGAACACCCCTCTGGAAAACAATTGACATGGCTATCATGTGGGAAAAAAATACGAAGGTAAGTGATATTACTGAGGAGGTGCCATGCTGCTTGATGGGATAATATGAACTCCATATTACACCATTCAATGTGAAGTTCTCTCAAACTCGGCACAAGAATCCCTTCTGGAAATTCTTCCATCTTGTCAACACCACATATGCTTAGCTTTCTTAAACTTGGGAGGAGACTTTTCATGTCATCTGATATAAACTTCAGAAAAACACAACCCCCAATATGAATAGACTGGAGATTTTGAAGAGGAGCAGTTGGACTCATCACAAAGTCAACATTTTTACACCACTGTACATTTAATTCTTGTAATAAAGGGGGCAAATGAATCATTGAAGAAGGTGATATGTTGGAGCAATCACTGATAGTTAATTGTTGCAGATGCGAACGTTTAGCAAATGAGTCCAACATTGATTCCAACATCCAACATCCTGAAATATCTAGAGTGCAAAGTAAAGGAGGTAATTCTTGCTCTTGCCATACCATATTTCCACTTTTAAATGCATGTAAATTCTGAAGTTTGGGACACTTTGGAATACAAGAAGAAAACAATGAACAGAATTTAATCTCCAGAGTTTCTAAAGAAAGCAGCTGGAGAGGTAGACTTCCAGCTAATTTGTTGCAAAATGATACTGTGAGTAGCTGGAGTTTAGGGAAAGCTTCGGTGTTAATGGAATGCCATTGTTCCCAAGAAGCCATCCTTGAAAAGTGAAGATATTCAAGGGATGGAAATGGTATCATGGAAGCACAATTATCACCCTTCAAAAACTCATCACCAACGCTCACTACACTTTCTAATCTAATAATGTATAATTTCTTCAGAGCAGGGAGTTGCCCAAGGGAAGGAAGCATGCAACAATTTGTGCAATTCTCTAGCCGCAAAGAAGTCATTTTGTGGTAAGAAGGACTTCCCAACCAATCAGAAAATATGGTGCCCCTATAACAAATGATTTCCAGTTCTTCTAAATCCCAATGAGGCTGAAGATGGGCCAAAACATCTTTCTCAGTTCTTGTATCTTCCACATCGCCCAAATCGGACCATGATAATGTTAAATTTTTAATTTGCTTCTTCTCCATCATTCTCGCGTCAGAGGCTTCATTTTCATTCTTGACATTCTCTAAATTGCTAACTGCAATCCAACCCTTCAATTTTGAAATTCCTCCTAATTCACCAATCCCAGTTTCTTGTTCTTTGCCGACAATGAAGTCACTTAGAAATTGCAAATCTTTTAATTTACCCAATCCCCTTGGCATTTCTTTTAGTTTAGTGTTTCTAACATCAAGATGCCGCAAGGTTACAAGATATTGCATATCACTTGGTAGCATCTCTAAAGACCTGCAATGATTCAACCTCAACGTTTGTAGATTGTATAATTTGCATAGTGAGTGGGGCAAACCTGCAATACTGCTTGACGAAGACAAATCCAAATAGCGAAGATTTACAAGATCTTGCATGTCACTTGGTAGAATCATGAGAAAAGAACAATAGCACAACTTCAAGGTTTGTAAATTATATAATCTACAGATTGAATTGGGCAAATTTACAATGCTTGTGCCAGATAGATCTAAATAGCGCAAGTGGACAAATTTCCCAATTGACTCAGGAACTGTCTTTAAAGTAGATAGTTCTCTAAGTGACAACGTTCGCAGGTGCTTCAGATTCGATGAAAGAATATGAGAAGCATTTTCAACAGTCTTAAAGATATAGGAAAAATTCAATCCTATAAATGTTCGCAAGCCTTTTGATTTCTGGAAAACCCCCCGATCTAAGCAATGACAATTTTGAAAGTCGCAAGACAAATGACGAGTCATTGTGCCAATTTCATTTCTGTTCTCCCCTAATCTAAAGTAGAAGTCTCCAGCAACATGAGTTGCTAATGCATGAATGAGATCATGCATGACAAAGCACCTATCACTTTTATTACACCCGTGTGCAACGTATACATAACTTTCAGGTAAGGATTGAAAGAATGATCTTGAAGTTAAATCATCAAGATACCCATAACCAACTTCTTCTAGAGTTATGTTCCTTTTTGACGGTTGCAAAAAACCTTCTGCCATCCACATCAAGATTAGTTCCTCCTTGTCAAATACATAACCCTCTGGAAATAAAGAACAATAAGCGAAGCATTGTTTTAAATGGGGAGGGAGATAATAATAACTAACTTTTAAAGCTGGAATGATCTCATTGTCCAATGAATCCCACATGGCATCTTCTAATATATTATTCCAGTCATCAAAGTCACACTTTGATCGAAAAAGCCCCCCAAGTACTTTTGCTGCTAAAGGTAATCCTTTACACTTGGTAACAACATCTTTTCCAATTTTTTCTAAGCATGATTTCACGACAGAATCTCTAAAACTGAAAGCATGTGCAGCAAAAATTGACAAACAATCTTTGTCAGACAAGGCATTTAGGTGGTAAAATGATGAGATAGTTTTAACCATCAAAGCCACATGCTCTATGCGAGTTGTGACAAGAATTGTACATCCTTCCACTCCATTGTGAAGCAAATTTTTCAAATTAACCCAATCAGTATAGTTTTCGTTCCAGTAGTCGTCCAGAACAACTAAAAACCTCTTTCTTTCTAACTTCTCTGCCAAATGACGTTGAAGAAGATGTAAATCCATATTATCACAGACAAAAGTAGGACTGATAAATTTTATTATAGTCTGTCCTATTCTCAAAAGATCAAATGTCTCAGAAACGCATACCCAAGCAGTATAATCAAATTTTTGCCGTACATAATTATCCTTATATAGTAAGTAAACTAAGGTGGTCTTTCCAACTCCGCCCATGCCCACAATTGGGATTACAGACAATTGATCACCATCCTCATCAAACATAAGCTTAATTATGTCTTGTTTTTCTTTCTTCCTTCCATACACTTTAGAGACTTCCGCTTCACGATATGGAACTTGACGCCTCATTGACATGGTCTCTGTTCCACTACTTTTCTCCAATTTAAGGTAATCTCTTTGTCTCACAATATGTTCAATTCTGTCAGTGATCGCTTCTAACTTATTTGCCATGCTTGTATCACGCAAATTAAGAGAAGCAAAAGAGAAATAGCGCACCTTTTTCTGAGCAGCAGCTTTGGTGAAAAGTTCATCCATCAAGTCTTCCAGGTCATAAACAACATCTTTGAGTTCGTTTAGCCAATCTTTCACATCAAGATCCGTAAATTGTTTCAATTCTGCGTCATTGAGCACAGCTCTTGCAGCAATCAAGGATGGCTTCAAATGATGAAGTAACTTGCTATCGAGCTTCTTTCCACAAATGAAGTTGATCAAGTCAGCCTGTTTAGGGGTTAACCTGTCCAACAGCACATTGAAGACACCAGAGAGAAGAGCTTCACCCACAAGTGATCCAGCCATAATCTCTTCGGGATGAGTGATATTTCTGAAAATAGTGAAAATGCTCGCGAACTTTGCACAAAAAGGGAGATGAAATAATATACAGGCCAGGGCTCGATTTATTTGACTTCAAAAGCCATAATTGTTGTATTAAAGGGGGGAAAAAGCTTTAGCTGTCCAATCATGTCGAATTTCCTTCAACGCGGGGCAGTTAGCCATCTACCTCAAGCACTTGGATATACATTTTTCTTTTGACCTGAAAGCACTTAGAATTTAAAGCATTGCTTCTCGGGGAGCATAGAAATTTTTTTTATTAAATAAATAATTTTTCTTTTTTTAATCTACAAAAATTTCTTTTTGAGAAAATGACCCCAAAAAATAAAAATTTGTAAATGCCAAATAAAAAATATCAACAAAACTTTATTGTCATTTATAAATTTATTGTTGTCAACACCAAATAAAGTATTATTATAAACCATATTTTTGGATTTAGTAATTTTTAACTTCTTTTTTTACTATTGTTTTCTTTATTTTTTGGAATGGATATTAATTTCTTTATTGCATAATGAGGAATTCAACAATATTATACTTCTGTCCCTATTCCATCATATCCTTGTGTGCCATTAGTCAAGCTGGCTTTATATTGCTGATATATTTTTTAGTAAATATTTTCATTTTGTATATCCGTTAAATCTTTTTTCCCTCGAAGAGATTATTATATAGACGAACATTGCATATATAATAATTTCTGCTCTCGAAAGACCCAGAAATAGAATAATATTGTTGTTGTGATGCCCAACTGCAAATTAAAGCTAGATAGTCTAAATTTAAAAATTTTCTATTTATGATTTTTTTTTTAAAATTGAAAGTTCATTCTGTTACACGATAACAACAATTAGAAGCATACTTTTATTTAAGATTTATATTTATGAAAACAAAAAATTATTAAAAAATTGAAATAAAATAACTTAGATTTGGTGCGAAACTAATCCTTGAATGATAGGTTGGACTTTAGCAACAACGAAAAACGAATGGTGGGTTGGACCGTGACAAAACTAGGGCCATGAAATAATGCAGCGCAAAAGTCAGACGTCCGGAAAAGTGGCCTGGAAAAAGGAAGTAAAACCTTCCAAAATAATACTCCCTCCGTTCCTTATTATAAAAGACATTTGATGCTTATGATATGTTCTTATATATAAGAGACACTTAAAAGTTGTCTCTACTTTTTTGTATTGATTTCCTATTTTACCCATATTTATTGTCTCCAACTCACACTCTCTCTCCTTCCCACTTCTCTTTCTTTTAATAATTTACCATTGTTCTCTCTCATACCGTCTCTCCTTATTAATGAGGGTATTTTTGAAAAAAAAATTATACTTTTTACACATTGATTGTTCTTAACTAATTTTAACTGTTTTTTTTATCAACGTAATTTGATTATTCGTCTCTTATAATAAAGAACGGAAGGAGTACCATTGAATCTTTTTTTTTTTTGTCAACATTGAATCTGCCCCCAACTTTATCACTCTGGTCATGACTTAAAACCTTCCAAAATAATAAAATGTTATTTTAAATTTATTTACATATATTTATTTTTTTAAAAAAATAAAAGTAATGCGAAAAAGCGGGATTGTATTTAAATTAGTTTTTTTTTAATGATATTTCTTCAAAAGAACGTGACGAAGGGTTAATTAAAGTTAAATTGATGGGAGAATCAACTGCAGTAAAACTGTAAAAGTGAAGAGATATTTTGATGCAGACACTTATGTTGGGCAAGAGCAGGCAATAATTGATCTCTGTGAGAGCCACGTTGCCTTTTGAGAAATGGGTTAATGTCTCGATTGCATAGCAAAAGATCTAAATCTAATGGTGAAATTACTACTAAGCGCCTCAATTTTTGTCATATGAGCCTTTCATCTTCGAATATGGGCAACAATATTGCCACAGCGTTGGGTGTGCTGCGTTATATATTTGTGTTTGTTTATGGGAGTTTAGTTTTGCTTCATATTACTGTCTCCGGTACCTAATACTACCTCCGGTCCTAATTATAAGACACAGTTGACTTATTTGAGGAGATTAAGGAATCAAGTTAAGTTAGTTATTTGTAATAAATAAGTGTTGTCATTTCTAAAATATCCTTGCAAATTAAGTATATTGGCTAGAACTATCATTATTAGAAGGATTATCTTGGAAAAAAATATATAAATATGAGAGACAAAATGGATTGGGGTCTTATAATTAGGACCAAACAAAAAGTCAAACAGGGTCTTATAATAAGGACCGGAGGTAGTATAAAAATTAGTGAGAAATTATAAGATCTCAATTTGTTTTATTTCTTATTTTTTAAAAATATCTCTATTGATTATAAGAAATTATCTCCAAAGGATAATTACAAATAATTTAATATATATGATTAAAGATGATAATTTTCAAAAAATTTAACACTAATAATTAATTAACTTGACTAATTTCTTTTATATCCTCATATCTAGTTTCTATATTAATAAATAGTATACCCCAAAGGCGTGGTGCATACAACTATTTTGAGCCCAATAAACTTTTGACTAATCTAGATTCTAGAGGTTTGCCTTGCACGCTTTTGGCACTGAAAACTTCTTTAGAACTTAGGCATGGCTGCTCCATGTCAGATACTACTTCTGGTCCTTAATATAAGATTCTGTTTGACTTTTTATTTGGTCATAATTATAAGACTTCAATCCATTTTATCTCTCATATTTATATATTTTTTTCCCAAAATATTCCTTCTAATAATAATAGTTATAACCAATACACTTAATTAGTAAGGATATTTTAAGAATGACAACACTTATTTATTACAAATAACTAACTTAACTTACTTTCTTAATCTCCTCAAATAAGTTAATTGGGTCTTATAATTAGAACTGGAGGTAGTATTTTTCAACATGACAGGCTTGTCCACTTCATTGAACAAAGTGATATACGTAGTTACTTGCTTTTCAACATATGATCTTTTTAATGATTCAAAATTATAAAAAGAAAATAAAATAAGATGACACCACGGTATATAGAGGTTCAGATTCAAAAAAATTGAATCCTACATCCTCTCCCCAAGCATAAAGCTTGAGAATTTTCATAAGTAATAAATATTCACAATACAATATACATAACTCATCCTCCTATCATTTGCACACCAAACCCAAAAGGAAAAAATAAAAGAAAAGAAAAGAAAAGAAAACAATATACAGATGTATGGCACACGGTCACCCAACAAGTACCTTCAAAAGTGAAAAAACAATTAATGCAGATGAATCACACAGAGGACAGTCCCAGCAGATCAGAGAATTTTTTGTCAAGATGCTGGCTAAGATGATGGACTTCATCAGATTTTAATGAGCTACTCTTCTTAGTCCAGTTTCAAGTCTGCAAATCCCTTTCCATCCCTCTTACTGGTGCTGCATTTTAAGCATACGAAAGGGAAGTTCAGAGACAGCACAAGAGATTAAAAAAAATGGAAATGGCAATCCATTATCCTCAAGTAACTTGCTAATAATAAGTTAATCAAAACCAAAGAAAATATATGATAGAATAAGTGAACAAGCAGATTACCAGAGAAAGAAGAAATCAAAAGGCTCTGGTTCAGTTTAAACCTCTTCAGAGCAGGAATGAATATATGAAGGATCTTAATTAGAGCACTACACTTTGAGAAGAAGTAAGAAGCACTCTTTGTTTCCTTTATCAGTTAGAACTAACTGACCGTTTTGGACTCTACCTGCAACAATCCCATAAGAAGAAAAACTCAATCAAACTAAGATTAATTATCAAAAAAAAAAAAAAAGATAAAGAAATGGTATCTGTTATATAGATGGAAACTTGTCAAGAAGGGTACCTTCATGATTACTATTTGTGAATAATTTCTCATTACATGATTGAATAACGTGTGAGCCACAAAACACAAAACTTTGAAGCCTCGTCCCTGCATAAATTTGAGGCCAAGTGGATTACTAAACTAATATTTGGAGTAATGAAATTGTAAATATATTGGACAGCGTTGAGATCGTTAATGGTTCAGTGTAGGATATGTAATTAAAGTAGGTACCGTAATCAATTAATGCTCTGAAGCACATCAAATGTTTTCTAGAATTGCATCATTATATTCTGTCATCAAATATTCATAATAATTTAATTTAATATAAACACATGAGATTGCTACCTCATTTTAATTCATGAAGTTGCAAATTACAGTGATCTAAATTTCATTAGGAAACTAACACAAACAGAATATAAAATTACTAATTCACTCTATATACAACATATTATATTACAGAAACATAAACTGAACACAAGTAATGCCAATTGTAATTGTTGTTCATTTTCATCATTCGAGCTCATAAAAATGATTTTGTCCGGATGCAAATCAGCAAGGAGCATTTTCAGTTCTGGTTTTGAAAAAATCGCACATAATTGGTGAGCAATAATTTCTTTAAAAAAAATTATTTAAATATATCTAAAGATAGTAATCATACTGTTTTTCGCAATATATTTGTATTAATATATAGACACGATGAAAAAGAAACCAAGAAACAAGGTAAATAAAAATAGCTAAAGCAGGTTTAAAAAAACAGAGAGGGGAAGAGAGCGTGCTGGAATCCAAAGAACAACAAAATGAATAATTTTGTTAATATCATATAAAATTGCCAAGAGGTTAACCAATGTAAGAAGTGGTTCCAAAAATGTAAGAAAATTAATATTGAGAAACATTTATATGTAGGCATAATGGTCTCTGGATGCATTTATATGAACAAGCAAAACATAGTACTTGGGAACAATATTGTGGACATATAAATACCTCGTGGATGATTGTACCTCAATATATGTTGATGAGTGGGATGTGGGATATTTGGCGCAAAAGTTGTTCATCCTTGTTGTGGTATTTTTCATCAAGCAATGGACAATACCCAAAGTGAAGCTCTCTTAAAGAAGCAGGCAGCTTTTCCCCTGACATTTTCTCCAGCTTCAAACAAGAATGGATATCTAGTTTTTGGAGAGAGGTTAGGTGCTGAAGTCCCGTGCAATTCAATGTCTCCAAGTCACTAAAGCCAGTGAGTTCCAAAGTGGTGAGAGTGGTAGGAAGAAAACACACCTCTGGAAAACAGTTGACATAACTTCCATCAATTGGATAAAAAATATGAAGGCAAGTGATATTTCTTAGGAGGTGCCATGCTTGATGGGATGTTATGAACTCTATGTTACACGAAAGAATATGAAGTTCTCTCAAACTCGGCACAAGAGCCCCTTCTGGAAATCCTTCTATCCCTTTAACATTCGATATGCTTAGCTTTATTAAATTTGGGAGGACACCTTCTATGTCATCCGATATAAACTTCACAAAACTACAACTCTGAATATAAATAGACCAGAGACTTTGAAGAGGAGCGGTTGAACTCATCACAAAATCAATATTTTTACTACAGGATACGTTTAATTCTTGTAATGACTGGGGCAAATGAATCATTAAAGTTGATATATTGGAGCAACCACGGATACATAATTTTTGCAGATGTGAAGGTTTAGCGAGTGCCTCCAACACTGATTCCAACATCCGACATTCTGAAATATCTAGAGTGCAAAGGGCCCGAGGTAACTCTGGCTCTTGCCATACCCCATTTCCACTTCCATATGTGTCAAAATTCTGAAGTTTGGGACACCTCGGAATACTAGAAGAAAACAATGGACAATATCTAATAACCAAAGTTTCTAAAGAAAGCAACCGGGAAGGTAGACTTCCAACTAACTTGGGGCAAGATTCTATTCTGAGTTTTCGAAGCTTAGGGAAAGCTTCCATATCAGTGGAAAGCCATTGTTCCCAGGATAACATGATTGAAAAGCTAAGATATTCAAGGGATGGAAATGGTATCATGGAAGAACAATCATCAGCCTTCAAAAACTCATCACCAATGCTTTTGACACGTTTTAATCCATAAATATCTAATGTCTTCAGAGCGGGGAGCTGTCCCAAAGGGGGAAGCATGCAACAATTTTCACAATCTGTCAGGCCCAACGAGGTCATGTTATAGTAGGAAGGACTTCCCAACCAATCTGGAAATATTGTGCCCTTATAACAGTAAACTTCCAATTGTTTCAAATCCCAATGGGGTCGAAGCTTAGCCAAAATATTTCTCTCCCTGCTTGTATCTTCCGCATCACCAAAATCCGACCAATATAATGTTAAACTTTCAATTCGCTTCTTCTCCATCATTCTCGCACCATCTGCTTCATCTTCATTCTTGACATTCTCTAACCGACTAACTTCAATGCAACCCTTCAAATTTGAGATTCCTCCCAATTCTGTAATCCCGGTCTCCTGCTCTTTCCCAACAATAAAGTCACTTAAAAATTGCAAATCTTTTAATTTACCCAGCCCCCTCGGCATTTCTTTCAACGTAGTGTTTGTGACGTCAAGATGTCGCAAATTTTTAAGTTCCTGCATGTCACTTGGTAGAATCAGGAGAGAACAACATTCACGCAGCTTCAATGTCTGTAAATTATACAATTTACAGATTGAATCAGGCAAACTTGCAATGTTTGTGTAAGATAGATCCAAATAGCGTAGATGGATGAAATTTCCGATTGACCCGGGAACCATCTTTAAATTAGGCAGTCCTGCTAGTGACAATGTTCGTAGGTACTTCAGGTTTGATGATAGAATATGAGAAGCATTTTCAAAAGGCGATTCCAATCCTATAAATGTTCGCAAGCCTTTTAATTTTTGGAAAACCTCATGATCTAAGCCTAGATAATTTTGAAAGTTGCATGACAAATGGCGAGTCATGGGGCCAATTTTGTTTCTATTCTCCCTTAATCTAAAATAGAAGTCCCCGGCAACATGAGTTGCTAACTCATGAATGAGATCATGCATCACAAAATGCCTATCTCTTATGATGTATTCATGATTTTCGGGTAAGGGTTGAAAGAATGATCTTGAAGTTAAATCATCAATATACCCCTCACCAACTTCTTCTAAAGTCATTTTCCTTTTTGTGGTCCCCAAAAAACCTTCTGCCATCCACATCATGATTAATTCATCCTTATCAAATGTATAATCCTCAGGAAATAAAGAACAGTAAGCAAAGCATTGTTTTAAATGGGGAGGAAGATAATAATAACTGACTCCTAAAGCTGGAATAATCTTGTCATCGAATGAATCCCACATGGATTCTTTTAATATATTATTCCAGTCTTCAATGCGAGACTTTGATCGAAAAAGGCCCCCAAGCACTTTTGCTGCTAAAGGCAATCCTCTGCACTTGCTAGCAACATCGCTTCCGATTTTTTCTAAGCATGAATTCACATTTGAATCTTTAAAATGGAAAGCATGTGCAGCAAAAACTAACAAACAATCTTCATCAGACAACAAATCTAGGCGATAAGATGATGAGATAGTTGTAACCATCAAAGCAACGTCCTCTTCACGAGTTGTAACAAGGATTTTACATCCTTCCACCCCATTGTGAAGCAAACTCTTCAAAACATCCCAATCAGTGTAGTCGTGATTCCATAAATCATCAAGAATAACTAAAAACTTTTTCCCTTCTATCTTCTCTGCTAGACGATCGCGAAGAAGATTCAAATCCATGTTATCACAGGCAGAATCTTGATCAATAGATTTTATTATAGTCTGTGCTATTTTCAAAAGATCAAATGTTTCAGAAACACAAACCCATGCAGTGAGATCAAATTTTTGCTTCACATCTTTATAAACTAAATTAACTAAGGTGGTTTTCCCAACCCCGCCCATGCCCCAGATGGGGATTACGGACAACGGACCACCCTCACCATCCAACATAAGCTTAATTATATCTTCTTTTGCTTTATTCCTTCCGTACACTTGAGAGACCTCCACATGAGATGTAACTGGAGGCCTCCAGGACAAAGTTTCCGGACACGTTTCAGTGCCCTTCTTCAGTTCAAGGGCGTCTTTTTGTCGCACAATATATTCAATTCTATCACTTATAGCTTCTAACTTATTTGCCATGCTTGTATCACGCAAAGTAAGGGAAGCAAAGGAGAAAGAGGGAACCTGTTTCTGAGTGGCAGCTCGGGTGGAAATTTCATCCATCAAGTCTTCCAGGTCATAAACAGCATCCTTGAGTTCATTCAGCCACTCTTTCACGGCTAGATCCTTCTTGAATTGTCTGAGTTCAGCGTTATTGAGCACAGCTCTTGCAGCAATCAAGGATGGCCTCAAATGATTAAGTAACTTGTCATCCAGCTTCTTTCCTACAATTTTGTTGATCAAATCTGTGATCTCAGGCGTTAATCTCTCCAAAAGCACATTGAAGACAGCAGAGAGAAGAGCTTCGGCCATGATCTCTTTGGGAATGAGTGATATTTCTGAAAACAGTGAAAATGCTCGCAAACTTGCACAGCAAGTGAGATGAAATAGAAGGGGCGACCTCGATTTATACGATTTCAGAAGCTAGTGAAAGATGATACTACTGTCTCTTTTGTCATGTTGCAATAATAGCAGGACAAGGAAAGGAGGCTAACGCAAACCTGTCATTGTGAACGCACTAAAGTAGAAAATTATCTATAAATATGACAAAAGAATCATTAACATATTGCCAGAAAATACATCATTTATAAGTTTAAAAAAAATCAACATGCCTTGTCTTTCTTTACTAGTCTTCAGTCCTTGCTCCTTGGATAATTTTTTAAAACGTCCTTTGCCGAAATAAACAAGGCTAATTATATTTTACTATGTGGCTACTACTATCAAAAGATTTATCCACTATGACCATGTTTTATATGCTGGATCGAATTTTAAAAGAAGAGACTGTTATTGGGATTGAATAAGTTTTAAATTTATGTTTAGCATATTATGAAAATTTGAGGGGGGAAAAAGAAAAAGAAAAAACAAGACTCAAATTCAAACAAAAATGAGATCAAAGACACATTTATCCTCATCTTCCATTCTTGCTGCCAAGAAAAGTGGTAGAAAGAACAACAATGGAGGAAGACGGTTGAAGTTGACGGTGAAGTGAAATTTTAGTTCCAATTAATTACGTGTCTTTTATTTTTTCCTCACTTTCTCTCGTGTTTATTTCCAATTATTCTCTGGAAGCAAGTTTGACTGCTTATGTGTTATCGAATCTTGTTAATATTCCCTAGCAGTTTTTTTTTTGGAGCCAACCCTAGCAGTGAATATGCTGTATAAGAGAGACGCGTCGAAAAGGATAAACAGGAAACAAGAAGGGGCTTGTTTGGAACTCTGTTTAAAATAAACTTTTAAACAAGTTCACGTAAATCGGGATAAAACTTTCTTCACATGCTTATTTCGTATTTCGTAAATCATATTTAAAAAGATACTTATAAGTTAATCCAAACAAACTCAAAGTCATCAAAAAAAGAAATGCTAGGAATAATAAAAGGTATTATGACATAATAAAAACATTGAAATATACTCTCGAGGAGCAATCAACGTGCCCATAAAATTATAATATTTTTTGTATATAATGTTAGATTGAAGCTGTGTTGACAAAAAAAAGTTGCAAATATTATTAGTATAAAATACGTTGACACCATGCTTTCTAGACTAACTATGAAAGATAAGGTTTAAAAAATAATGTAAAACATCTTTTTTCGTATCATTTTAATTAGATCCATTTATATATAATTTTCTTACCAAAATTTACTTAATATATAAAAGGTTAAGATGCATCTAGCATTTCGGATTATTCTTTCATATGCATCTAGCAATCTAAAGCATTTTGTAATATATCTAATATTTTGAAGTATTTTTAGATACATTTAACATCTTAAAATATATATTTTTACCTTAGTCGTGGATGCACCAAAAAATATTTTAGGATATTAAATGCAACAAAAAATATTTTAAGGTCTTGGATGCACTAAAAAATACTTTAAGATATTGAATACAAATAAAAAATATTTTATGATGCAAACCACAAAATACTTTAAATTACTAGATTGGATACACCAACAAAAATATTTTGGGATGTGGATACACTTTAATCCTAATATAAAAAGTATGAGTTATTTTGAAATTTCATGTTAACACCAGTCCTAACACCTAGCCCGTTTTAGGTATTAATTTTTTTTTTTTTTTAAACCTTGTCCGCCAATTTTAGGTTGCAAACTGTTACTTACTGAAGAAGGTCCCAAACTATTTTCACCAAAAAATAAAAAATAAAAAGAAGGTCCCAAGCTATTAGTTATTGAAGAAGGTCCCCTCCAAATTGAACTTTGTGGTCACCTTCTTCCATAAATCGCAGCTAATCTACTAAAACAAAGGGGACACAACCCTTGTGCTTGTGAACGCACTGACGTAGAAAATTATCACTAACTATGACAAAAGAATCATTAAAAAAGTTAACATGCTTAGTCTTTTTTTTTAATTTAAGGTTGATCTTATATATAAGTAACATTTTGTATTTGCCTAAAAATTTAATGTATTCTTTATTTTTAGTCCCAATTAATTATATGTCTCTTTTTTTTTGCTCGCTTTCTCTCGTGTTTATTTCCAATTACTCTCTCTCTCTCACTTATCATTATCATATATACATAAAGGTTTAATATTAATTATTTAATATTTATAATGATTTTTATATTTACATTGAATATTCATAAAAGTAAGAATGTAAGATGTAGTAGACATTTACATGCACGCGGAGTTGGCCGGTGGGTTTTGGGAATTAAATGACTTCCGCACTTTCTCAGCAAAAAGATGCGTGGAAAAGTAACTGAGGAAGAAACACTAAAATTAATCTAAGAATTTATTTTTAAAAAAAAATTCCTCAAAAAAATTAAAAAAAATAATTCGCATCTTTTTTAAAGTTAACTAATCTTAAATTATAGCTTATTCTTCTTCCTAATACAATGATATTTTAAATGGTAGTGATAAGGAAAAAAGAACAAAGAAAGAAAAGATCATAAAAAAGAACAAAGATGTGTGGAGAAGTGAACCCAAAAAAAAAAAGCATTGAAGCTGATTTAAGAATTAAAAAGTTTTTCCCTTGAAAACAGTAAGAAAGAAGTCATTAGTATTGTTTTTAAAGTTAATTACTCTAAGAAGAAAAAGAAAAGAAAAGAAAATATCATGAAATGATGTCCAAACTAAAGAAAGAAAAAACGGGTGGAAAAGTAAATAAAAGGGGGGGGGAAGGCATGGTAGGTTGGACGCTGACCAAACAAGGGCAGATAGAGAGAACAAAGCCTCTTGAATGTACGAAAAAGAAATAAGGGAAAATTTTATTTTAGAACCACGGGGTAGGTAATTAATTAATATCAGTGACCTTTGAAACATTTTAAAATTTCGGTTAAACCCCTAAACAAAATGAAATTAAATTTAAAAATAAAATTACAATAATACCCCTTTTATTTTTCTAAAAATAAATATTAATGGTTAGTGGAACTCCAACCACCAATGCTTAGGTGGCTGAAATCATAACCCCTTAGCACATGAAAAGAAATGTGACCACCTAAGTAACCAAGTCTTTTAGTTATATGATGCAAAGAAAAATATATATAACAAAACAAATGCAAATGTCCAAATATAAATAAACAAGTAAAATTTGACAATTTATAAGTGAAATTTAACAATTTATAACAAAAATTCATCAATTTACAAATAACATAATGAAATTCACAACCCTAGATACAAGTATTGACGTGTAAATGAGAAAATAAAATTTGAAAATTTACAACAAAAATTCACAGATTTACATCCCAAATTCAGCGATTAACAATAACCATAAGAGAGTTCACAACTCCAAATATAAGTATTTAAGTGTAAATGAACAAGTAAAATTCAGCGATTTACAACATAAATTCCTTGATTTACAACCCAATTTAGTGATTCACAAGAAACATAAACACTTGTATTTAAGATTGTGAATTTTCTTATAAGTTTTGTAATGTTTATGCTCCTTGTGAATCATCGAATTTGGATTGTAAATCGTTGAATTTTACTTGTTCATTTACACTTAAACAATTAAACTTGGGGTTATAAATTTTCTTATATTTCTTATGAATCATCAAGATTGGGTTCTAAATTACTGAATGTTTGTTATAAATGTTGAATTTTACTTGTTTATTCACACTTAAACGTTTATATTTACGGTTGTGAACTCTCTTATGTTTCTTATTAATTACCGAATTTGAGTTGGAAATCCATGAATTTTTATTGTAAATCTTCGAATTTCACTTGCTCATTCACATGACCTCAACACTTACATCTGAGGTTATAAATTTTATTATGTTACTTGTAAATTATCAAATTTTTGTTATAAATTACTAAATTTTACTTGTAAATTGTCGAATTTCACTTGTTCATTTACATTTGAATGCTTGTATTTATTTTGTTATGTTTTTTTTTTTGCATCATATAATTAAAAGGCTTGGTTGGCTTGGTAGTCATATCACTTTTGATGTGCCAAGGGATCATGAGTTCAAATTCTCCCTTGAGTATCTTATTTTTTAAAAAAAAAAATCCTTTAGCCACCAAAACTCTCGAAACCAGCTATTAATATTTATTTTTTATAAAAATAAAAATCAGTAGTATTATTGTAATTTTATTTTAAAATTTTAATTTCATTTGGTCTAAAGGGCTTGATTAAAATTTTGAAATATTTCAAAGATTGACTAGTATTAATTAGTTACAGTAGTGTTAAAATAAAATTTTTCCAAGAAATAAACAAAAGACCGGGGGGGAATTTTTTTTAATCTTTTTTTAAAAACCAATGCCATCAAATATTTTTTATAAGTTTATCACTCTGGTCAAGTCATAACTTGACCTTCCGAAATTTAAAAAAAAAAAAAAGAAGTTATTTTACATTATTAATATATATTTATTTGTGTCAAAGGGCAGAGATATTTTGAGGAAGACGCTTACTGAGAGGAGGAGGGAAAGGACAATAATTGACCCGTGTGGAGCTGTTGGGTTTTTGGAATTAAATGAACTTCCGAATTTTCTGAGCAAAGTGACACCGACAAGGAAGGACAACCCAATTGCATGTGAAGAGAATCCTAGGAGGTTAAATAAGAAACAAAATATCAGATTATTCAGTTCTAATCAGAGTTATGAGTTTTATCCTATTACTCTCTCTCCGGTCATATTTATAAGTTTTAAATTTAAAAAAGAGTGTGAGTTTTAATTTAGATTTGTCTTAATATTTAATACATTTTTTCAATTTTGATTTTAATTGTTACTCCTCCGGTCTTTAATATAACACGTATTTAACTAATTCGATTAGATTAAGAAAATTAGATAAGTTAGTTAATTATAAAAAATGACATATTTTTCCTAAAATACCATAATCATCTTTCTTAATACTCCTTCTCTCTCTT